AAGTAAATGTCACTATTTAAATATATCTATTCAAATCAATGGTAGCAGCTGCAAGTTAGTTATAGATGGATTTTTGCCAATTATTATTATTTCTTCTTTTGTTAAATACCCACTTTTAGCAGAACAAGAGTACAGCTTCAGGTCAAAGGCAAGAATGACTCATGTTCTGAATACAAATGTGTGAAAATCACATCAAACTGCTGGGTGAGCAGCCAGCATTAATTTATTAATTGTATATTGTTGCAGTCAACCATACTTTGTGTTGAAAAACAAAATAAAGATGCCATTGAGGGACTGCTGAGACACCATTTTTGGTTGCTTTACCACTGAGGATGTGAAATGTACAAAGTGGGGTGACACATCTTCTTTTTGTCCATTAAAAAGTAAGTGCATTCCTGAAAACTGTCAAAATTTGAAACATAACTATGGTGCCCATCCGGTATTATTGGATTAAAAAAAATGTTGTGGCCACATGATAGTAATGTGTTGCCATGAGATAAAAAAATGCGTGGCCACAAGATAATTTTGAGCAGTGTGTACGGCAAGATACAGACATTGTTGGAGTCACAGTATAAACATTTTTTTAATTTGTCTTTTTTTTGCATTTTATTAATTTTTTATGTTTTTGCATTTTTTGTTATTTTCCTTCCAGCTTTCTCAGGTCCCCCAGAGGGCCGCAGTCCCCACTTTGAAAAACACTGGTGTAGGGAATTTTAGTAAATGTTCAAAAAGTGTAGTTTTGAGTAAAAATAAACTCGTGATGACACCACTCTAGTTCCCAATCACATTCYCATCATAGTGCCATACAACAACAGACCAACTCATTCACTCCTAAGGTCAATATAAATTGTCATTTGACCCAATATACAAGGTTTTAAATGTGGGTGGAAGCTGCCGGAGCACCGGCAGAAAACCCACACATGCATGGAGAGTACATGCCAACTCCACGAACCAGCGAGATTATCCTGCACCACTCATTTATCACAGCGCACTGAATATTTGATGATGTTCTATTAAGTAAGCTGTTTATTTTTCCATCTAAAGCTTTGCAAATGAAAAAAAGTAAAAGTTTTTTAAACACTATTATTATGTGCCGGCTTGTATTGTGGCATCTTTTTGTTTTTCATCCATGATTACAGGAACAGCGCTCGGATTGTATTCTGTGCAGGGGTGTTTGGATCTGTCATTATTTGTGGCCATGTTGGAGGGTGGACGTGTTTCCTCAGCGGACTGTGACTGTGAGCCAAAACCACATTGCCAGATTAACATGCTCAACAAAAACAAAACAAAAAAAAGGACAGCCTCTTCATGAAACAGCAGACAAATGCTCATCAGAGGATGCTCACATTTTAAGGATTAACATATACTCATGCACAAAAATCATTTAATAAAAACAGCTTATGATTGTGAATATCCCCATCAATTATTTCCATTACTGCGATATGAACCCTGAAGGGACAGGTGATGAAAACAATGATCATTCTTCCACTGTGAGATGTCTGGGGATATACTGAGCCCTGATTACTGCACTTTGCCCAGACAGACTGTGTGTATTTCTTCATTCACACTAGTTCAGGATCATCTCTGCCTCAGTGACTTTCTGCTTTAGTCTAACACCAAAAGAGCCTGTATTAATTTTCCCAGCACATATTACCAGTGAAAGGGAACGATACAACCTACCAATTATAGAAAGAAAGCTTCAAAGCCCAGAGGGTGAACTCGGTGAGAAGGTGGACTTTTTTTTATATCCCTCCATACCAGCAACAGCTTTGGCTATAGAGGTGTGATATTCTGGGCAGCTTGTCAGTTGATTCACTGATAACTGTTGGTCATTTCTTTTCTACAAACCCAGTATTTCAAGAAACAAGAAATTCCCTGTTTTTGAATGTAATTGACTAAAAACAACAACAACAACACAATAAACTTATTTTGGAGGGCAGTGTAGTTTAGATTAMTTTGTAAAAAACATTTCTTGTTCAGTCATATCCTCTAATTCTGGACCATAAAAAAATATACAGCGGGCAAAATAAGTATTGAACACGTCACCATTTTTCTCAGTAAATATATTACTAGAGGTGCTAATG